AGTCCAACCCCTGCACAGTCTCATCAGGGCTGACCTTAAGGCAACTGGATCTATTTGGCCAAATTGGGCCCCACAGGCCGCTCCTAAGGGGGCTCCTGAACCAGGGCAATCTAGATGGATTTTATTTATATCTATAAAATTTTGCAGACTTTGGCTGTGAACTGGGCCCCTACAAAAAAAAAATCAAGTTGCGCCCCACTGCTTCAAATTGGACCCCACTGGCTAGCCCTGAGTCTAAAGGTTGCTGGGCCTGAGTTGCCCTGCCCTTACATGAAGCCTTGGGTTTACAATTTTGGGAGAGGGCAGACTGCGGCACTGGGGAGCAGGCAGGCTGGTGAGGCCCCCTAGATTTAGAGGCCCTAAGCTTCAGCCTACTTAGCCTATACATAAATCCAGTACTGCACACGCTAGAACAGCATCTTGAACCAAGGCAATCATAAAGATAAAGCAGATGAGAAATCAAATAGTTGGCCTCACTGCATCAACACCTTCAAAAAAGCTTGGGCAAAAATGTGCGTCTGAAACCAGAGCTTGAAAATAAGCAATGTTGGGGCCAGACATATCTTGGAGGGGAGGGCATTCCAAATCCTTCTAATCCTGTTGATTAACGTCTGCTGGACAATAGTATTTCTCTCTTGTCTAGACAAGTTATGAGTTTCAAACGTTCAAATATGTGCAAAATTTCATCTCAGCTTTTCTTTAGACTCTGGAAGAACCAAAGACAACAAATTAAGTACATCCCAATTTTCACTCCAAGAACAACAAATTAAGTACATCCCAATTTTCACTCCAAGAACAACTGCAGCTAAAGCAAAGTAACAGAGAACAGAATTTCCTGAGTGTGCTTTCCACAGGAATTGTAACAGAGTTATATAAAAAAAATGGATGCTATATAAAAATATGGCTCACACTGAATTTTTCAGTCCTAGGGTGAATCATGGCTTCCTCTTAATTTCAGAAATGAAATGACAGATGCACCTGCACCCTGGTTATGACATCCACCTGGACTCTTCCCCCACGCTTCAGGTGGACCGCCTGCCTTTTAAAAATGTTTGAAGTGTCACATGAACATCTATCCATTCATTTGTCAACTCTTTTAAGCAAAACAAAAAGCTTTATTTCTCAAAATGCATTACTGCTAAAGGCAGTTCTGCCCAATATTGGGGGGAGGGCCTCATCATGTGACATCGCACATGTGACAACACATGTGACATCATGCGCATCAGGAGGAGGTCTTGAGGAATGATGAGGTCCACTGCCATTGCAAGGAGGCCTGGGTCCCCAAGATTGGGGTTGGGGGCTCAGCCCCATCCCAACATATTTTGTTGGGGCTGAGAACACCTCAGAGTTGGCGCCTATGATTACTGCTCCAATGACACGAGGGCTAGGTTTTCTGGTGACATCAAGTGGGGCTAACCAAGCAGGGTTGTGCCCTGCCTGCTTCTGCTTCAAGCTTGCAGAATGGTACTTTTTGGAGCTTAACCCTACTGAGAAGTAGGCTAGTGTGGTGTAGTGGTTAAGAGCAATAGACTCATAATCTGGGGAACCGGGTTCGCGTCTCCGCTCCTCCACATGCAGCTGCTGGGTGACCTTGGGCTAGTCACACTTCTTTGAAGTCTCTCAGCCTCACTCACCTCACAGAGTGTTTGTTGTGGGGGAGGAAGGGAAAGGAGATTGTTAGCCGCTTTGAGGTAGTGATAAAGCAGGATATCAAATCCAAACTCTTCTTCTTCTTCTAGGCACATTGGCCAGGAACGCAGTGAGGTTGGTTCCAGACGGGACTCACTGCTCTAAATATGTGACATCTATCTTTAGCGAAACTCTGTTTGAAATAAAATTAGCATAGCAAAAATGCACTTGGTTTACATATTTTTTTAAAAAGGCTGCCCACATACTCTTTTAACACAGGAGGGGGGTGAGATTTCTCCATGCGTAAATTGGTAAACATGTGCTTGTTGTGTTTCCATTTCAACTAGTGACCTGAACAGGGTTATGGTGGCACATGGCCAGGAAGTTGTGCATGGGGGAAGTTTCCAGCCGAGCTGAGTTGTGTTAGGAAAGGTCACATTCATAGGACTCCTTGCAGCCAGCAAGGAGATGTACTGAGAAGAGAGCTCTGGGCTGTGTACACAGGTTTAAAGCATATCCTGCTCCCAAGACTGAATTCTGGGAACTGTAGTTCATGAAGGGCACTGGGAATTGTAGCACTGTGAGGGGTAAACTACAGTTTCCCAGGGTTCTTGGGGGGGGCATGCTTTAAAAGTATGGCATATACCCAACCATAGAGAGGAAAGAGTGAGGACTTCCGCACAGACAGCTTGTCCTCACTGCCCAAGCCCCTGTTGCCCACTTGATAATTAGCTGATTGCCCTGGCACAAAATACCGTACTTTTTGCTCCATAACACTCACTTTTTCCTCTTAGAAAGTAAGGGGAAATGTCTGTGCGTGTTATGGAGCGAATGCCTATGGATGGCGGGGGGATCTGTTGTAGTCGTGAGCAGAGGATCCATGGTTCCCCTTCCTTCCCTCCTCCGTGGCTCGCTTTGCTCGCTTTGAAACAGCAAAGCGGGAGAAGAGCCACTGAGTGGGGAGAAGAGAGGGACAGAGAGCCTGGTTACAAAGCACGGATCCACATGGATCCTCAGGATTTTTGCACTGGGTCACCCCAAATTCACCATCAGATCACATAGCATGTCCATGGCTACAGCTTGCACCAAAAAAATCACGCACCCACTGTTGCCTGGGGTCGCAGTGGTGCAAAAACATGGTTACAAAGCATGGATCCACATGGATCCTCAGGATTTTTGCATTGGGCTATCCCAAACTCACCGTCAGATCACATGTCTGTGGCCACAGCATGAACCACAAAAATCATACATCCACAGTTTCGTTTAGAATATTTTTTTCTTGTTTTCCTCCTCTAAAAACTATGTGCGTGTTATGGTCGGGTGCGTGTTATAGAGCGAAAAATACGGTACAGTAATTTGCAGAGTTCACTTCCTAAACTGTAATTCAGATTAGTTTAATTCCGCCAAGTACTAGTCCCAGTTACGTAGCAGTTGAGTAGCAAAGGGTTCCACGGTGAATTACTTCAGTAAATGCACACAGCCAAATTCACATTTGCTGAGGTAGCACAGGTGTGAGAGCTGCATTTGAAGGGATTATTATGTTTGTTTGTTATATTTATATCCCACCCTTCCTCCCAAAGGAGCCCACAGCAGCCAACAACAAATGATAAAACAATAAAAAACATGTTAAAAACAATTCACATGCACATGCAGACTGGGAAAGCTTACCACTTACAAGTCTTGTTGGAATTACAAGTCTTACAAGTCTTGTGGGAGTACGGGAGACCCTTAACTCTTCTATAGGCCACAATTCTCATCGGCCTATTGCCCCACCCTTGAGATGATACCCCTCACTCAGTCTCTTAAGTCCAGCTCTGGGGGGTGGAAATGTGCTAAAAATGGCTCAGGTATGAGATTTGGAGGAGAGAAGTGGGAAACGAGTTAGCACTTCAATCCACAACCTCCACTGCAAATATTCCCTCCACCTCTGCATTCATGTTACCAGGTAAGCACTGGATTGGGAGCCCCGGCTTTACCTTGCAATACGCTTTCACCTGGATGGCCAGGTTAGAAATGAAGAGGCAGCGGCTGTACCTTTAATAATTGCACAGAAGAGGAAATTTCAGCAGGTGTTAAGATTGCAGGACCAAGCTGCACTTGCTGAAATCCCCTCTCCTTTTCTTGCCAGCTACCCAAGATGCAAGAGCCCTCTCCTCTTTCCCCCCCCTTAGCCACCCTGGTCCTTTAGATGCCTGAGCTATAAGCCACGAATTTCCCTGTTTGAAGCTCGCCTTTGTTGTGAGCTCACAAGGTGGCCTTCGACAAGCCTCTCTCTTTCTCAGTCCTTCCTTTGCAGCATGTAGATAATGAATACTGACTTGTAGGGTTGCTATCAGGATTACTGCCAACGTGTATGAAGTGCTTAAGTGCTCTAGAGATGCTATGCAAGTTTATAAACCCACCACAGCTCTCTTAGTGTCACTAAGACAAAGCAATGATGTAAAAGCTTTGTTCTTATTTTTTTAAAGCTAAAATGTTTAATTGTTTGGTGTGCATTGAAAATATTAACTCCCACCCTCCAAGAGGCAAGGCACTCCCAGCAACACTCGCTCCATTGACAAGATACAGTGTAACAAGGAGAGTTTTGCATCGTCAGAGAAATTAGTGCAGCATGCTAGAATATTCCATGGTACACGGCAATGGGATAGTTTTGTTGCTCTTCATTTTTGTTTTATAACAACAATAGGCTAGACCATGGGTAGACAAACTAAGGCCCGGGGGCTGGATCTGGCCCAATCGCCTTCTAAATTCAGCCCATGGACAGTCCAGGAATCAGCATGTTTAAAAGGCAGTCCGGGAATCAGCTTTTATTTAAAATGCATCTCTGGGTTATTTATGGGGCCTGCCTGGTGTTTTTACATGAGTAGAATGTGTGCTTTTATTTAAAATGCACCTCTGGGTTATTTGTGGGGCATAGGAATCCGTTCTTTTTTCTTTTCTTTTTCAAAATATAGTCCAGCTCCCCACAAGGTCTGAGGGATGGTGGATTGGCCCCCTGCTGAAAAAGTTTGCTGACCCCTGGGCTAGACAAAATACAACCACGGTTGCAGAAAGTCTTTCGGAGAGAGCTCCTTTGCAAGCAACTATCCAGCATGATTCAGTATGGTCCTCAACAAACAACTTCTAATGAATGAACAATTGTACCACTAAAAAGTGTGTGAAGGGAATGTGAAAATGCATTTTGTTTGTTTGTATGCATGTTGATACTTGATTGAAGATGATCAAATTGCTTTTATTTTATTTTATTTTAAAAAGCTAGATGGAAATGATGTGTTTGGGCCAGACTTTGCATACATTCCCAAAGATGTGGTTTGGTGAAGTCAAGATATTTTGAAAGGGGAAGAACCAGCTAATGTTATTCCTATTGACAGGACTGATGCAGGATGGGGCAAAGCTCTCACCAGTGGGACTCTACCGGTGTGCGGTAATGGACTTGAGAACAAGGGAGGACTAGTCAAGAGGTAAGCCAGAAGCCTAGGCATATTGAATGGCTGGAAAAGCCTGATAGCATTAGAAACCATGGAAAGAAAGTCCCTTAATAGGAAGAATTATTTGAAGGTATGCAATGATGGCTATTGCTGCTTTCCCTTTCTCTATTCCCTGTACACATTTGATTGCACCCCACTGTATAAGTCCAACACAATCATCAAATTTGCGGATGATACAACAGTGGTGGGGCTCATTAGTGAGAACGATGAGACTGCTTATAGGAAAGAAGTACAGGGGTTAATTCAATGGTGTAAAGAAAACAATCTTATGCTTAACACCAAAAAAACCAAAGAACTCATAATTGACTTTAGGAGAAAGAAAAGTGTATTTTTACCATTGCACATAAATGGCGAGGAGGTGGAGAGGGTTGGTAGTTTTAAATACCTGGGCATTTATATCTCTGAGGACCTCTCATGGACTGCAAATATTAATATGGTTGTGAGGAAGGTGCAGGGGAGGTTGTATTTCCTGAGAATGCTCAGGGGACTGAATCTATCTCAGCACCTACTTCTGTCCTATTATCACAGTACCATCGAGAGTGTCTTAACCTATAATATATTATCGTGGTATGGGAGCAGCTCTGAAACGGATAAAAAAGCTTTACAGAGAATAATTAAAATTGCCCAGAATGTTATTGGGCTCCAACTACCAACCCTGGATGAGATCTTCACGTCTCGCACTTTGAAGAAGTCACACAATATCCTGAGAGATCCCACCCATCCTGCTCACAACTTCTTTGAACTGTTGCCTTCGGGCAGAAGATATAGGACAATGAAAACACGAACCACACGCCTTCTGAATAGTTTCTATCCAAGAGCTCTGATTGCACTAAATAATGATCTCAGGGCCAGTTGCAAGGAATAGCAAGCAGGGAGTAGGAAGGAATGAGATAGGTTTTAGGTTATGTTATGCCTTTAATAGGTTATGTTATATTCTGGATTATGTTATGTTTTTATAGATTATGTCTGAATAGGATGAGAGTGTTGGAGATACGTGCAAATGTGTATGTGAACCCGGTCTTTGGGTGGGTGTTTGATTTTCGTTGTTGTGTATACTGTGTATATACGGACAATGACAATAAATTTATCTATCTATCTATCTATCTATCTATCTATCTATCTATCTATCTATCATCTATATCTATCTATCTATCTATCTATCTATCTATCTATCTATCTATCTATCTATCTATCTATCTATCTTATATCTGGTCTGGCAATGTACTAGACTGCATCATGACTATAGAGGTTACATTGCCTTCTCTTCCACATAAGGTATTAATATTTCTGTGTAAATTAAAGCAAAACCTCTAGCTGCTGTTACCTATTGCAGTGTAACCAAGTGCCACACAGTGTGACATGTGGAGTCAGAAATTTCTTTCTCATCCTCTTTACTGTCTAATTACTAGGCACATGATTCAGATTTTAGTGTCTGGGGTCCCCGCCCCCCCAAGAAGATAAATGACATCCATTTTATCTTCATTTACACCTAGTTAAATTATGTCACACAAAAGCTTCGAAGTCCCATAAAGGAAGAAGGGAGTACAGACCACATTTATGTGCACTTTACTTTTTTAGGCATTCATTTAAGACATCTTTGTGTACATCTGGATAATGTTATTTGTGAAACAGCCCTTTAGCCAACCTGGGAAATGCCAACCTGTATGTTAAATACCGTATTTTTTGCTCTATAAGACTCACTTTTCCCCTCCTAAAAAGTAAGGGGGAATGTGTGTGCGTCTTATGGAGCGAATGCAGGCTGCGCAGCTATCCCAGAAGCCAGAACAGCAAGAGGGATTGCTGCTTTCACTGCGCAGCGATCCCTCTTGTTGTTCTGGCTTCTGAGATTCAGAATATTTTTTTTCTTGGTTTCCTCCTCCAAAAACTAGGTGCGTCTTATGGTCTGGTGCGTCTTATAGAGTGAAAAATACGGTACATCCTTTGGACAAGATTCAATTTCCTTACCTTTCTGGGAGCAAGTATTCTGTTGCTTGTTCATCCAGCTAGCACATATATACTGGAAATTACATTTCTGATTTTGTTTAGTTTGCAAATAAGACCTTGATTTGTGAAAAGGATTTGTTTTTGTTCTTGTTTTTTTTTAAAAAAACCTCTCCTCTCCCCTCTATATATCTACTTCCCAGCAGAGGGAGCACAAGTGGCATTGTCCAACAAGCCACTTGTTCATTGCTTCAGTGATTGTAAGATTCTCAAAGAAAAGAAAAATGTACAGTATCGGGCTGAAATCCTATGCACCCCCCTTAAATTGAAATCTGTGGGGCTTGGTTCTGAGCTGACATGAATAGGATTGTGATTTGAATGATGTTTAAGGCCACATATGTTCTGATGCACTCTTTTGAAAGCAGATGTGTTGAAATGCACAGTGTGCTTTATGTGGCAAGCATTTCTGCAGGGTGCAAAACAGATGCTTTCGTGCCTTGAATAGAAAATAAAATAAAAAACAACATTGTGAATGTTGAATGACATTAATGAAGAAAATCTGGGAAACACAATAAGTAAAGTGGTCACAGTGTTTGCCTGTTTTATGATTTGCATTATTTATTCATTTTTAAATGTGTTTTTTTTAAAAAAAGGAAAGATAATCCCAGAGGGTCAAGAAACAATAAAATCTAGCATTTACTTTATGACTGGACCCAACATATTAAACTTATTGAGATATGCATTTGAAATGGTACTTAAAAGACCTTTGTTGGGTTGAGGAATAATGCTACTGGCAGATGTAATAAAATAGTGTAGAGAAGCTCTTATTTTAACACTTTTTTTTTTTACTCTGCCACTTCTCTATCCTCAGTTGCCCTCTCTCAAAGCAGCTTTTCTTAAAAATAAAAAGATTTGTAAAGTTGCACCATCAACAGGTGAACATTCCTGGATGCGAAATGGCTCACCGCAGCCAGTGTGCCTGGTCTACTGGGCTGGTGTTGGCGTTTGTGTACCCATGATCACAGCATGGGGAAATGGCTCCTTAGACAAGGATTCCTGGAAGTCCAACTACATGAATTGTGAGGACCCCGCTGCCCTGAGTAAGTTCACCTGAGTAAGAAATACAGGGAACACATCCTAAATGGAGATGCGTTGCTCTATTTACTTTGCTTCTCCCTCAGTCGGAAAAAGGCAAAGGCAAATGATACCAAAGGGTGGGGAGATTCAAGTGGAACGCTCCTTCACAAACTGTCTGGCTTCAGTCACCATCTATGCAGGCATAACCATCACCACTTATCCAGAAAGGGGAGGATCTTGAGGCTCTGCACACAGCGCACCACCGTCCTGTGCTCAAAGCTTCTAGAAAGGCAGAGCTGGAGAGGTGTTATTGAGCCCACATGAATCAATCGCACATGGAAGAATATGAAGAGGGCCATGCAGCGCAAGGTGCAAGGAGTTGGGGGCTGAGGGATTCGGAACCCTGGCATCATTTTTGATCATGTGGCCTTGCAGAGACCCAATGGAGTGCATTTTTGCCACTGGGCAACAAGGCTTGGTAGCTGGACATTTGCAAAGTAAGTGGTTTAGCCGTGAGTCAGCAGAAAGGGGCTGACTCAGGTGGCAGATATTGTTATGTACTGAAGTTCTCACCCTGGACCAGCAGGGGGATACTGTAGATAGTTATGCAAATGAAGGATTGAAAGTGACGTTCAGTGATTGGATAGTTTGTATGCAAATGAAGGATCGAAAGTGACATTCAGTGATTGGATAGTTTTAGAAAGTTGCTACAGTTACGTTGTTCTGGAGCTCTATATAAGCAGGCTGACTGAGCCCTTCAGTTCAGTTCTGTTCTGGCCTCTGAATAAACAAGAGCTGTTTGAAGAATCGCTGTGTCGTCTGATATGTTCGCCCACAACTTAACAGATATGGCATTGGGTCAGATCTTTGTGCATGAGAAAGGCTTGACTTGTTTTCCCCAGTGCCATAGTTCAATTTCCCCTCCGTAACACAAAACATAGTGTGGCCCACCATGTCTAGACGCAAACCCAGGTTTTGAGGACAAAGTGAGTATAAATAACGGGGGTGTAGGAAGCAGGCTTGGCTGGAAAGGAGCATATAAAAAGCAGGGAGAGAGGGGAGAGCTCATGGAGAAAGGAGCTGTGTGGTTCTCTCTGGTCGGGGAGAGAACCAGGAGCCAAAGAAGAAATAGGAGGAGGAGAAATAAGACATGAGTAGGATTTGGCTTCCTCTAGTGATGAGCACCTAGAAGAGCACAAACCGTCTTTCGGAGACAATTATTTCCAAGGTGGAACAATTATCAAAGGATAAGTAGTCTTCACAGATTTCCTAAGTGCTCGTGCATGTTTACATATTTACATGGGGACTGGCGTTTCAGATTCTGTGAGGAATCAGAGATAACAGACCTCCCCCCCTCCCCCAGCCATGATCAATGTTGCACACTGTGTGCTGAAACAAATCATTTGCATATGTTAGTGATGGCGGTGATGAAAGAGAGAGAGGGAGAGAGGTCCTTGCCCTCTTCCTGTTCCACAATGCAACAAGCCTTTTAATTGAAATGAAACCACAGCATGATATAACAGCGGCATGATGTGGCCGTAGGAAATGCAAGGCCAAAAGGCATCACTTGCCATAGGCTGGGTCCAAACCAGAAATGCCACAAGAGTCCAAAAATAGCACAGAGTGTCTGCCTCGTCAACATGACTGAAGCAGGAAGACAGCAGACTGCATGCATAAAAACAAACTTGTTTATCTGGTCAGGATCAGAAAGGAGGGCATTCAACCAAGAGGCAGGCTGGTGGCGGAAACAAACCTAAGAAGAGCTCAGCAGGATTGGATTAAAAGTCCTTGTAGTCCAATATTCTGTTTCCAACTATTGGCCAGTCAGATGCCTCTAAGGAGGAAGTGTTCAAGGAGGGCACGAAGGCACCAGGCAGCAGCCTCCCCTTATTGTTTTGGACACAGCACATGGGGTTCATGGGTACTGCCCCTGGTATGGAAGAAAGCAACCAAGT